TCATTTTTGCACTGAAAAATAGAAAATTTGGATGGAAGAAATCTGACTAGTAAAATACAATAGATCAGATGTAGGACTTGTTTGTTGTGTTGGAATTCTTAAGTCCCTCCTGCCACAGGTTCTCTATTATGTCAAGAATTCTAGAAAGACTATAGATTCACAGTACACACTTCTTGAGCAATTCAGCTGTTACAGGAAGACTTTGGAGACCACATATTCCGTGGTAGGGAAACAGAAGGACTTATAGTTGCAGGTTGTTGTTTGAGCATGTTTCCCACCTTCCCTCTCTGCTCCAATATTAACAGCAGAAGACTTGGAAAACAAACAAACAAACAAAAAGAAACCCTTTTTCGGGGAGAAGAGGCAGGCCAGAGTTATAATACTGTAAGTTTCTGGAAGAACAGATGGGCCAGTTGACACCACGAAGAGGAGAGTGAATCTCAAACTGTGTTCTGCGAAGGTTGCTGTGGGAGGGGTAAAATGTCCGAAGATGGAATGAACGAGGTGTTGGGCAGAGATGGTTGACAAGGCCGGACCACTCATCCCTTCCCCTTCTAGCCCTCTACTGCAGTTAGTGGGAGTCGGGAGAGGAACTCTCTTCCTGGGCATTACCTCCCCCAGGGGAAACAGAAAAGTTAGCAGGGGGACAGGAAGGGCCTTCCAGCCTGCTGCAGTCTGCAGTGCCAAAGCAGACCAGCGCAGTGGACACTCCCGCTCCTAGGTGGGCTGTAGAAAAGCTCCAGGCCTTCTTCAAGCAAGCCCTTTTTCAACCCATTCTGGGAAATTCTAGATTCTCTACCATAATATTCGGCCTCAAAAGTACTCATGTAGTAATCTGCGAATTCCTTTACCAATAGTGGGAAAACCAAAACCAAAACCAAAATTAAAATTGAACTAAAATATTTTCTATTTTCTCTTCTCTCTTTTCATTTTTTATTTGTGTGCATGTGTGTGTATGTGTTTTACTGGTGATTCAGCCCAAGGCCTTCACACTACTATATCCCCAGCCCTTTTAAATTTTTTTGTTTTGAGATAGGGTTTTACTGAGCTGCTAAATTCTTTGGGCTAGGCCTGGATTTGTGATCTGCCTCAGCCTCTCAGAGAGCTGGGATAACAGACTACTCCACCATGCCTGGCTGCATTATTTTTCTTAATTTAGGTCTTTCAATAACCAACAGGCATGAAACCTGTCCTCCAATATCTTAGTTCTTTAAAAGATTTATCTTATTCCATAAAAATCTTCAAACTAATTGGGTAAAAAAAATAATTTTTCTAAAAAATAAAATGCATCTGTAGAGCAAAATGCCAGGCATGCTTTGAGAAATATTATTTTTAAAAAGTGGTGTGAGCAATCTTGATACCCCAGTGCCGTGTTTAAATGGCACAGTCCTCCTCTACAAACAAAATTTCTTCTGGATCCCAATCCACAAGATGGATCAAATAAACTGCCTTGGCTGAAGGAGTAGGAGGCTAAAGGCATTTATCACACATGCCCATTATATGGGCGGTGCACACACAAGGTCCTTGACCACAAACATACAAAACACGCGCAGACACACACTGCTTTCCACATCACACACAAATATACCTTCCAACCTCCCGCGCGCACACTGTGCCATATGTGTGCACATATTGCTCCCCACACATACCACGTTGCACAGACACCTCCCGTACACACACACACACACTGTCACACACAGGCATTCCCTTACATGGTACACACAATGCTATCTCCTCCTCTCCCCAGAGACCACATGGTAACTACACACACATCACACACCACGTATCACATATCCACATAGCAAACATACATGTACATGCTGCATACAGACACCACACACAATACACAAAACCACACCACAAGTACCACAACATGCAAAGACCATGTACACATCATACACACAGACACACATGCGCATGCACGCGCACACACACAGACAGACAGACACACATGACACCCAAATACACACAGGATTTTCTAGGTGTCTAGGGTTTCATGGAACATAATTTGAAAAAAATCAATGCCCTGGGTGGAAGGCACTGCATTTCATTTTAATGAGCTATTTTCTTTCTTCTTTTTGGTACAGACATACTTTCACCAGCAATGATAAAAGATTTGGTGGTTGATTTTTTTTCAAGATTGGTTTAAGTCTAGAATTAGTGCTTATAGCTCTCCTAATTTTTGGTGCTTGTTTCATGGAACATAATTTGAAAAAAATCAATGCCCTGGGTGGAAGGCACTGCATTTCATTTTAATGAGCTATTTTCTTTCTTCTTTTTGGTACAGACATACTTTCACCAGCAATGATAAAAGATTTGGTGGTTGATTTTTTTTCAAGATTGGTTTAAGTCTAGAATTAGTGCTTATAGCTCTCCTAATTTTTGGTGCTTCCAAGTTAAGCAGCAACATCTTCAAACAATTCTAAAGGGTTATCCTTTGGACCTTTAGAAACCCCAGATTTTGTCCTGAAATCCATGCCACAAGGGAGAGTATACTAATACACTATCTGCAAAAAGTCACAATGACAACTGAGAAGCAGTTTCACCGGCCAGTGGGGCCCGAAGACAAAGATCTGGCTTCGTGCAATGTCAACGCGGTTCCAAGCCAGTGCCAAGCTCAGCTGATCTGGAGCGGACGCATTGGTTCCTAGAGAGGCAAGAAGTGAGAGCGATATTTGACTTGGTACCTGGACCACTGGGTTTAGCAGGTGCTAGGCAATGAGCCCAGGCTTCCCCGGGGCTGGCTCAGTGCAGCCCTTTGGAAACACTGTCTTTTCTCTTGCTCCTAATTCACTACTAAGGCCTGGAAGCTACCTGCAAGGGAGGTGGATACAGCCTCTTCCCTTGTCAGCTCTGCGTGGTCTCCTTGGGAGAGATGGAGGAGGAACCGTGGGACTCAAGGCTCTTACATACAGGAGGACAGGAGCCCAGGACTTCCCAGGTATCTGCCAACCAGGCCAAGGGACCACACCCTTCCCAGGAACACCGCCAGGCAGCCAGTCCATGGCGATCCCCTTCCTCCCTGCCCTGCATGGCCCCAGTCTCGGATAGAGGCAGGGAGGAAACGTCATCCCAGAGTAGACCCCACCTCATAAGTTCCTGGTGGAAGCCTGTCATTAGGGCAGGACGGGGAAATCAGACAGAGCCCTGTCAAATGCAGTGATTGCAAAAGAAAATCTATTTCGTATTTACACTGATCATAGAAGCCATCCAAGTACTAGTTATGGATGGAACCAGGTCTGATCTTGGCACATAATGGTCCACAGACACCCTCAGACCCCACCTCACAGAAAGCCTTACGGAGCTTGTGCCTGTACTGTGGCTTCCTGCTAACGTCACCCCCGGGAGCCTGTCTGTCCATTGCAGTCCCTGGCTGCAGAGGAGCAGGGAGAATGATTGCTGGTCCTAAGCAAAGGCCCAGGCCAGCCCTGCCCTGAAAAGACAGGAATCTCCATTTCTAAGTGCTCACCTTTCAGCAGGGCGGTTAAAATTGCCATCTCAACGTCTTGCTGACCCTCAGAACCCATTCTAAACACGGTGACCTGAAAACAGATAAATTGTAAAATGAACTAAACACGGTGACCTGAAAACAGATAAATTGTAAAATGATGGAATAAAGGCAAAGTTGAAAAGAAGGGGGGGTGGTTTCAGGCGTTTAAAACAACAACAAAAAGAGACTGACTCATAGTGAGAGATAAAAATTTCATATCAAATGCTTTTGATATCCAGGAATCAGAGGGCTGCTTTTGCCGACTGTGAATCCTTGCCTGGATTCTGATTTTATTATTTCCCTGATCTGATCCTGCACTTTGAAGAGGAAGGAGCCCATTCTGGATCTATACTCCAGCATCTAAATAGTCGTCTGGGATGACAAAACCATCTCTAATCAGATTGTGTATATTCATAAGAAATTTATAAATTTAGAATTTTGAAGATAACATCTTAGATGTACCAGAAATACCTATTTCTTACAAACGCAAGGAAGGAAGGAGTGGGAAATAATGACTGTGTTTGGAAAGCAAAATGATTTTGATTTTAGAAGTATGTCAAAAAGGGTGGTCGATGCCTCTTGAAATCTGATGAACATTCTGCAGCCCTGGGTGACACGGTGGGATGTCACCTCGTACGTGCTAAGGTCTGAGAGCACCAGGAACCTTCTCTCGTGTGGATTTACCCCACTTCTGAAATAAGGACTCTCCACCAGTTTGGTGTGGGCCTGTAGGCTGCCTCTTGGAAAAGGCTGAACCAAAATATGAACAACTCTAGCGAGCACACATGGGCAGAATTAGAGGAGGAAATAGAAGAGCTTGTTTGGAAATAAACTCAAGACGCTTACAAGTTCTTTCTTCTTCATGCACTCCATTATAACGGCAAACAGCTGATGTGACTGTGTCTTGCTGTAATTAAACGTTTTCTGAATGGTAACTAGAAGCTGATCCCGGAGGGACTCATTTGTTATCCTGCTCAAAAAAAAAAAAAAAAACACCAAAGAGAACAAAACAAAGCCAGTTAAACCCATTCATGGCTAGTTAAACCCATTCATGGCTAAATCAGACATTTCTGTGTCGTCCAGTAGCTCTGATTCTAAATGTCGCTATGGGAGGGTATCCCTGCAGACGAGACAGAGTCAGCATGGCCAAAAACTGCATTTGCACTTGTCCTAAATGTCAGCCTTGCTGAAAACCTTACAAGGGAGAATGAAGTCTGTTAGTCTCTGAGCATTCCCTGGAAGGCTAACCTCAAGGGGTGGGAAAGGAGATCTAGCAAATCTTCACAATTTACACAGTTTCGGAACGGGTAAGCATATCACTTCCACTGTGCTCCTTGGCCTAACAAGGAGGCGTGAAGCACCCACCCTTGGTCACACGTCAGAGATCCTACCGTCCATCTTCACAGTACTTGTGTGCGAAGGATAGAATGTCCGAGGCTCGTCCGCTGCCGTCACAAACCACCACGGGGACCGGCGGGTCTTCCCAGAGGAATTCCAAGACCACAGACATCACGTTAGGGCCGCCTTCCACCACGAGTCCCACGACGGGCACACCCTGCCCCAGTCCTGCAACACAAACCACAGTCACTGCTTGGGCCTGTGCACAGCACTTTCACCTGAAACGTGATGAGGAGGGGACTTCGGGACAGTATGGATACAGCACACGGCGCCAGTGTTTACCAAGGTGGAGGAATTCAGCCGTGGGATGATTGTTTTCATTCTTGTATTCACACCTCATATTCTAGCCTCTTTGGGAAAACCAAAACCTCAAAATTCCTGAACTTCCTGACCCCTATATGGGTCCATTCCGTGTATGGGCTGACTCCAAGTGACCCGTCAGAGCACTGGGCATTGCCCCTTCCCACCCATGCTGTCCTCTAAAGAGTGGTGTGGGGAAAAGGACCTGAATCAGCCACAGGAGAGCTCAGTTCAGTTCCTGGCCTCTCCTGCATCCGCCTGATGACCCTGGGCCAGTTACCAAACTACCGTGAACCTTAGAAGCCCATTTAAAAAATTGTTGCTGTTTTTAATTTTTATTAGTGCTTATTAGTTGTACAGATGAATGCGTTTCATTTTGTCATATATATACATGCATATAACATCAACTGCCATTATTTTTACGACCCTTTCTCTTCCCTCTCCCTTCCCGGGGACCCCCTTCTAATAGTACCCCTTCTACTTTTCTGTGTAGACAATCACTTGTAAAAGGCAAATAATCACAATGCCTTCCTTGTCTTTTGAAGGAGCAACAGACCTGAAATACAGGAAAACGCCTGTCTATCAAAGTATTTTGTGAGCTCTAAGTGGCACACAAATATGGAATGCTGCTGTTACTGTTTCTGCCTCCACTGCCTGGAATAAAGCAGTGTAAGTTGAACATTCTGTTGTGAAAATCTAAAACCAATAATGGAGACCATGTCTGATTTCAGATTTTCGATTTAGTGATGCTCAAACATTCCACAATCTGAGAAACTCTGAAATCTAAATGACTTCTGGTCCCAAGCATTTCCGATAAAGGGTGTTCAACTTGTAAATTATCTTAGAGGCCAGCATGTGGACCACTATTAGCCCATCTGTGGATGACTTATTCCCAGCATCATCTCTCTGTTTTTATCAAATGATAGGACACTCTGAGAACACAGTGGCACAAATTGACTTTTAGCGGTACGACCATCAGGGTGGGCTCTAGGAAGCGGGAGGACTCTGGGAAGCTGGAATTCAGGAGCAAGAGAACAGTGGGAGAGAAGGAGCAACAAGGAAAAGTTTGCCCACCCCACAGTTTTACCCCACACTGGCCAGGACAGACTGCCCTATAGCCTAATCCTCGGGACCTGAGGAGGCTTGGTTCCAGGACCCCTTGTGGAGGGAGACCCAAATCTTTGAACGTCAAGTCTGCTCATCAAGTGCTGCCGCATTAGCAAGGACCCTAAGCACACCCACCCTTATTCTCAAACCCTCTCTAAGTGACTTACAATCCCCAGTACAATCCAAGTTCTGTGTACCTAGCCTTAATTGCTTAGGGAATAATAGCAAGAAAACGTCTGCATATGTTCAGTACAAATGAAATTTTCTCTCAAACAAAACTTTTCCCTCCAACATTTTCCATCTGAAATTGGTGAAATTCTTTTTTTTTTTCTTTTGAGACAGTCACACTATGCAGTTCAGGCTGGCTTTGAACTCACTATGTAGCCCAGGGTGGGACTTGCAGTGACCCTCCTGTCTCAGACTCCCAATTGCTGGGTTTACAAGCATGTACCACCACGCTTGGCCAATTGGTGGAATTCTTGGACACAGAACCCATGGGTGCCAAGGGCCGAGTGTATTCTGAGGATGTTTCACCAGGTGTCTTTGGTGGTAATTAACATTACCATTAACAAACAGCGGGATGTCACAGTTCTCAAGAGCTTCAGATAAAATCTTCTGGCACAGGTTATGAGAAGATTTGAGAATTTCAGATGGGTGACTCCAGAGCTTCTGAATGGCTTCCACAGTGAGTTTCTACAATCAGGAATGCTTAAATATTTTGAGCAAATTTTCTGTCTCCTATTGAAATAATTATAGTTATTATTGTTTCAGCAAACAACCATTAAACGTTTCCTGTGGACAGCCCTTGACAAGAGATTCTGGAGAACAGATCAAGCGGACATACTTTACTCTGCCTTGAGATTTCTAACCCAAGCGCGGCTTGGGAGTTTAGGTCTTCAGGAATTTGGTGGCTAAATCACCTTCTCCTCTAGAAAGAGAGTGGAACTGGTTCTCCTTGGCGAAAGCTGGACTCCCGAAGCTCGTGGTGTGGGAGGTGACAACTGAGCAGCCCTTTGCTGTCCTTGCCCTGCTCAGAGCCCTAGGCAAAGGATGACAAAGGGAAGCCCACAAGTCACTCGGCTGGGTGAAGCAGGGTAGTGTGAAAACTCACAAGTCCAGAAAAACTTAAAATGTTGAAAACAACAACAAAAATTTCAATCAATTTATCCACCGAGATGTGATTCTTGGGCATCCACAACTTTTTGTCATGGGCCCACCCCAGTCTAACCACTTGAACAATATCACAGTCCCTTTATTTTTGCTTTACAATGGCCATTTCCCAGGCCTAGGTTGTCTTGCACAAAAATCTCGCCAGAAATGGTTAAAAGAAAAATTTCTTTGATATCATTTAGTAGTTGTTTCGCAGTAAAATTGTTAGCATATGGGCCTCTCCAAGAGATCACTCTGGATATTTTAATTCTATCCAGTTTTTATTTCATCATTTCATCTGGTTGGGATTCATTCCTTCCTCCCTAGCTCAACCTCAAGTGTCTCAGCAGTGGCTGCTCCCTCTCAGCGCTGTGACCAGCAAGAGTGATGGCCCCTCACCTCAGCAGCAAATGCTCCTGAACCCCTTTCCCTAGATTTCCCTATCTGGCCGTCTTAGTCTGGGTGAGAGACCCAGAGCTACAGAGCTATTTGATGATCATATAATACTCATCAGTTTGGAGAGGGAATCATAGTTTTTAGTAAGATTTTTTTTTTATCCCATTGAAACATTTAAAAAGTAATGTAGTTATAGCCGGGTGCATGCCTGTAATCCCAGCACTCAAAAATAAAGTAGTGATTTTAGGGCAACACAGTAGGTAGCACCAAATGGTGATGCCCACTGCAAAGCTGTTTCTTGCACCACTTGTGAACTTGGGGTAAAGCATCGCACGGCAGCTCAGTGCTGAGATTTGGCAGGTGGCTAAGACAAAAGGTCTGGGTAAGTTATATTCTGTCAAGTTAGCAAGAAACAAGGGTAAAGTTTTGAATGCCATTCCTTCTCAGCTGGTTTTCACGGTTCTGGCACCAGGCTAGCAGTAGCACCTGTGGCCTTCCCCAGAACTTACTTGTGTTGATCTTCTGCAGAGAGATGTGCTTTTCCAGCTGCCTTCGCAACTTCACCTCGGCACCATATTTGCCCAGGGTGCCACTGTCCGCCAAGATGAAGTGTGTGTGGGAGTTGTTGAGCACAGAGAGCTTACTGAGAGGGTTGGACATGGTCTGGTACACTCTTGTTACCTGACAAAATGCACAATGAAAATTAGAACTGTAGAATTTGGATACTAATGGAGGAAGGAAATGGAGTCCATATGTGTGCAGTGTCTACATTTAAACTTATTCTCACCTCTCTAACCTATCTTTAGAAGTTTTTTTTTCCCACTTGCTATATTAAGATAGAAAAAACTTAATTATTTTAGATAATGATAACTCAACAATTATACGCCTGGATAATTATCACAGATAAATGAAAACGTACATGAACACACAGCCCTATACTGAAAGGTTTATGGCAGCTTTATTCATAACAAACTGCAAACAATCCAGATGCTTTTCAAAAGATAAATGGTTAAACAATCTATGGTAGTTGTATGAATACCACTCAGCAATACAAAGGTAGGAACTACTCACACGCGTGCAAATATGGACAAATGTTCAGAGGATTATGCAGAGTGAGAAAAGCTATTTTCAGAGGTTATACATTGTGTGACCCCATTTACATGATGCACAATTATAAAGTTATGTGGCACATTTGTGGTTGTCAGGGGTTAAGGAGGGAATGAGAGGAGGCTATAGGTATTAAAGGGCAATAGGAGGGAACTTTGCAGGGATGGAAATATTTGGTATCTTCACTGCATTGATATTACTATCCTGCTTGTAACATTGTACTGTGGTTTTGTAAGATGCTATCCCTGGGGGAACAGGTGAAGGCTATATTGGAGCTCTCTTCATTGTTTCTTACATGAGAATATCACAGTTATCTCAAAGAGACTTCAATTTTTAAAAATTGTCACTGTCTTCAGAGAGAACACTTACATCCTTGCCGAGGAGGTCTTCCTTGTTTTCTACCATGCCCCACGGAGCAATTCCTATAGCACAAACTCGTCCTCGGGACTTGGAGGAGTGGTCCTTCAATGCATCCCCCACGTGGCTGGTGACACCTGTGAGCAGCCATAGCTGTATTTTAGGCCCCTCCACTTTCTCACGCCAAGGATGGAACATCCTCTTCTTCATCACCAAAAGAAAATATACTGAATGTCTGAGGTCATAATAACTACCCGGATCTAACTTCTACAATGGGGAAAACAAAAACAGATACCAGAGTAACTGGCCAAGGACTCTCTTTACAAGTTTCTATGACCTAAAGATGGAAGTCACTGGGTCCCTGGCCATCCTGATGTTTCTTTACCTCTCTGTACCTAACTGCACCCTCCAAAAATGGAGGAAGAGTTGTAAACAGGCTCACTGAAGATAATTTTTGTCCAGTGATCAGTTGAAGAATGGCGCATAGTAAATGATCCAGCGGTGTTCACTATGGATGCTATTGTGTTGCTGTGGCTTGGATCTCGAGTAACCCTCAAAGGCATGGTACCCTGGTGTTACTGGGAAGGGATAGAAACTTTAAAAGGTGTAGCCTCATGGTTGGTCTTTGGGTGATTGGGATGTTCCTTGAAGGGGATTGTGGGACTCCAGCATCCTCATCTCTCTTTCACTCCTGGCCACGAGGTTTTGTTCTGCCATATGCTCTTAGCATGATACCCTGCCGAGGCCCAGAGCAATTGTGCCAACAGATTATATACTGAAATATCAAAAGCTATAAGCCCAAACAGCCCTTTTTCTCTCTATTGGTTGATTATATTGGGAGTTTATTATAGTGATAGAACACTAACAAAATTGTCATATTGCTGTTATAGCAAAGTGAATCATACAAAAAAGAACAACTTTATTGATAGAAGACTTCCGATGTTTTGTTTTCTGAGCATTATAACTGGGAAGCTCTTTGGAGACCATGGTGAGCTCAGGGTGTGTACATTTACAGAGAGAGAAGGGCCTGCTCTTACCGGTGCTGATGCCTCCTGTGAAGATCCAGGCCCCCGTGGTCATAGCGGCCTTGATCAGACCTTTCCCAAATACCTGCTTCAGCTTGGGCTGCATCTCAAAGTTCTGGAGACCTCCATGCACCGATATTAAGAGCTTGGGAAGTTCCAGCTGCCAGTCTTTCACCATGAGATGAAGCAGGGAGTCTGGCTTGGTGTCATAGGATACACGAATATACTGTAAAGGAGAGTGGGGGTGCTCAGCAGCTGTTGTTGGTTTTGCTTCTTATGTGAAAGGGGAGCAGGGCTCTCCCTCATGTCAAGTAAGAACTGTCCAGCTCGTTTCAGTGTCCCAGTGCCCTCTGTGTGAGTCTGTGGCCAAGAGGGTAAAGGGATTTTGGGAAAGGGTGCTGGATTTAGCAAATGAAAATATAAAAGAGCAAGAGAAACCCAAAACTCATACAAGGGAGGGAATTATAAAGATCAGAGTAGAAATAAATGCAATGGAGACTAAGAGAATGATACAAAAAGTCAATGAAGCAAAGAGTTGGTTCTTCAAAAGAATAAGTAACTAAAAATACAGCAATGCCCAGGCTAGAGTTCTGTTTCCCCACCATTTGTGTGTTGAAACCTAAGTCCCAATGTAATAGTATTAAGAGGTGGCCTTTATCATCTCTTAAGGGTTAAAGGCTAGTTTCCTTGAAGCCCAAGGAAATTGTTCACCTCTTTGCAATGTTCACAATACATCAAGAAATGCTGTCTATGAAGCAAAGAGTAAGATTTCAGCAATCACCAAATCTACTGGTGTCTTGATCCTGGAATTCTTAGCTGCTAAGAACTGTGAGCAATAAATATCTGCTGTTTAGAAATTACCCTGTACTTTGTTATAGCAGCTGAACAGACTAAGATACTCAGTTAAATTTTAATTTTAGATGAACAGTGAAAAATAATTTAGTACAATATTTTTACTAAATGCAATAAATCATGCAATATTTGGGACATAGTTGTACTAAAATTATCTCCTGTTTGTCTGAAATTCACATATAACTGAGTGTCCTGTAGTTTATCTGGTCCCCTGGCTTTTGGAAGAATCAATTCCACAGCTGGATAAGGACATTGTTGAGTGAGTGGAAAAGGAGATCATGGGACCACATCTGGACTTGACCTTCCCCTCAGGGTGAAGAAGAAGAGGTCAATGGTCACAGGACTTGGTTCCTGAGAATTGCTGCTTTGTGTCCACACCGATAAGTAATGTGCCATTATAGAAGATCACTTATTGTGGTATTTGGAACACAACTGAATTTTCTGGAACAATGATATTGGACTAATGAAATAAAATGAAATTGCAAAAATGGCTCAACTGGCATATGAAAGTGTTATTCAGAGTTAGCTGGAAGGGATCATGGTGGAACACCCCCCCCACGCCTCTGTAAAGCTCCTCAGAAAGGCAGAGGGCACTTCCTGTTTACAGACACATGTGAGAATCTGTTCTTTTTGTTCCAGCTGAGCTCAGACCCAGGAAAGCTGTGGACAGACTTCAGAACAAATATTTCCAGAGAGTCCCAACACATCTAAGGGGGCTTCAGGTCCACATTGTTTAAAAAGAAATTTACTATCACTGGAAAGGAAGCGATAAACATGGTTTCTGAGTTGGACCAGGGCATGCTTTGTGGGTCAGAACTTTGGTCTGACTTATGGGATATTGTAAGTCCATTATAGTGATGTCCAATTTCCAGGTCCGTTGGCTTAAGGATCAATGTGCACAGATATATGTTTTCATTCTACAGTGAAATATTTAGGGAGATTGAGACATAACACTAAAGAAGACAAGATATCTGTTGGCTAGGGGCTGAGAGACAGGTCTCTGATGAAAGCCGAGGTCCCCATGGCACCATGTCCAACAGCCCCTCTTACCATTGCTTTATTGAAATATCCACCACCCTGGAATTCAAGAATTCCATAGGTATCTGTTGGATAGCTCTGGGTGTGTTTGCTGACAGACCATTTTTCTGGCTGCATCTCCACCTGTTTGCTCTCCTCTCCATTTTTGCTGGGTGTTACACTTGGCAGGGGGCGGATATGCTGGTTGATGAGCTGGCCACAGCAACATCTGAAAAAAGAAGAGGTGGGTCTTTCTAAAGAGTT